CCAATCACCGGACCCTATTCAGATTTTATACCACAGCTGCGAGGGGAAGTTCACGACGCAGATTAAAGGATGATATTAAAATGTATTTTCAAGTAAAGGGTCTGAGAGTGTGGAATGGGTCGGCCTTCGACGTGGAAGACTACACGGGGTTCCAACCCACAAGACAAGGGTAATGATTCGCAGGAGATGGACGGAGTTCTAGGCGTGTGGCGTTTTCTACAACTGACAATTTCTCTGTTCCAGGCTGTGGGTCCCCGCAGCAGACATGGATAAGGAGTTGATTCGACTGTAAACACTTTCAAGCACGAGTGAATGAGAGAGGGAGAGGTGGAGTGAGATATACTGCATTGAACGCTGGGGGACGGCAGTAAATTTTGATAATAAAGGTTCCCATGCAGTGCCCACTCGTCCTTCTGACACTTATTTGGTTTTACCCCGCAAATTACTCCGCGAAATATTAAAAACAAATTCTTATAATATATACAGACTAGTGCGTTTTCAATAAGATTGAAATTCGCTTTAATTACCGCTGACATGTCCCATTAAAGTGAACGTAAATGGAAAAATGACTGTCTTCTGGGTTGTAGCACCGCGTCGTCTGACGTTTCGGAGATGCTAACCTGCACCAATCGGTCATTAACAATGGAGACGTTTTTTTTTCCCTTTGTGGTATGGACGACAGCTCAACATCTTGTCTTTCGTATTAATCTTATCACACAAGGACGAATGGGTGAAGCCTGGGAACCATCCGAAAAATAATGCTATGTCCTTTCGTCCCCGAAACAAACACCCATCCAAGTGGTCTTTTTATCGCATTACTTCCTATGCTGGTACTTTGTTTTATAATAACTATCGGGTTTTATGTTTCAATTTAATCGTAAAACATCTACTTGGTCAATCTAGAAGCAGATGGGGAGTACGTTATGGGGCAGCGGTGTTGAAGCTACGGGTTCGATTACGTCAGTGCTTGAGTAGATACGCAGGTTTTTGGTTGCATTGAGGTTGTTCGGGACTGTAATGACATTTGAGGTCATTATTTTTGTATTTATTGTAACGCCGTGTAGGTAGATATCCACATTTCGGAGGAACATGCTGTCTTCATCTTCCTCAAGTTTATGTTTGCGTTACAACCCAGGAGGCCAAAGTCGACACTGTAATGGATTTAAAATGTGTCCAACAGATGGCAGGACATTTCTGGACTACCTGAACTCGTTAGGAGTAGAGGTTGTGTGGGGAACGGTCTGTACCGAATCGAAAATGTTCTGAACTGCCTGATGACTACTGGGAAGTCACCCACGGTAGTACTCTTCTACTGAACGTACAGCTCCTGTAGCGGTAGCCGGGGTGAGACGGACGGAGGGTGCGTATATATACGATGCTGGTCGTTGGTATTGATTTCTGTCGTCCAAGATGGATCCTTTCTCACTGAGGAATCTCCTGGCTATCTTGGTTAGAGTTGGGTCTGCAGGCGGTACCCCCCGAGGGGGGTTGGGGGGTGGCGAGGAGAGCGCCTGCCTGTCGAGGATGGCGCAAAACACGTCCAGTCTTTTAGAACGCACCCTCTCTGTCTTCGTCACTCTTTTTCCTGCTTCAAGTCGGAGGAGTTTTCAGAAGTAGGACTTGTTTCCTTATTCGTAAGCCCCCAACGCAACCACCTCTACCCCTCCCCCGCCCCCGGGCCCTTTGCTTTCAAGCCGTGCTTTGCCAAAAGCTTCCACCCCCCCCTCAACCCCCGTCTTTAACCTCACTTCTAGTTGTCTCACTCTTTCTCGCAACGCGTGGAAATCAATGGAATATCTAGCCACTGGAAAACATTTCGTTTTGTCTGTAAGACGGAAGATCCAAAATGAATAGTTGGCTGCTTATTTTCGATTTGGGGATCGTGTGCCAAAATCTGAGGATTCTTGTTGTGATTTCAAGTTCTCGCGGCGGAGAACATGAAGATTGACACCTAACAGCCTTATTGAGGTCTTGCGCCGTGTCCTGTGGTAGGAATTGACGGACGTTTCGGAGGTGCCTAGTGCCTCCATCGTCAGGGCGATGAGGCGGCGAGCACGTCTGAAACGTT